AACTTGGAATGTTTTTTAATGCAGAAGTTCATTTTCCCTTGTAGCCTGAATATGGGGAATTCAAAATTGCAGAGAACGTGTTACATTTAGTCTACAACCAAGGAATGATTTGGTATGTATCAAAACTTCTTCTTCCTGCCTGTGCTCACATCTAATCTGGGCTGAGATTTTTATTTACTTCGACTGGATGGGGCGTGACCATAGTAAACACAGTCATAAGAATTAAGAAAGAACATAAACAGTTTATGACTGAAGGATTTCATATGAATAGTCATTTCGGTAATGGTTTTTGAAGCATTTTGTGGAAAGGAATGATGAAGGAAATAGTCCATTTTTAGGCCACTATCAGTCCCTTGAAAACAAATAAGCAAACAAAACCGCACAAGAACCAAGAGCCAGAAGGGGAAGGTGGGGCTGGTGGTGGGGGGAGGCTAGGAGGAGCGGCTGCTGACCCCTCAGGAGGATTTCCTTCAGTAGCTGTGTCCCAGCGGGGAACCTGCCCTCAGCTCCCCACTCTCCTTTCATATTTTTTTTGGAGAATATTTATTTATTTTTTGGCTGTACTGGGTCTTGGTTGCTTTGTGCAGCCTTTCTCTAGTTGCAGTGAGTGTGGCTACTCTTTATTGCAGTACACGAGCTTCTCATTGTGGTGGCTTCTCGTTGTGGAGCATGGGTTTTATAGCACAGATTCAGTAGTTGCAGTGCACGGGATTAGTTACTCCAAGGCATGTGGGATCTTCCTGGACCGAACAGCGACACGGGACCTTCCCGGACTGAACCTGTGTCCCCTGCATTGACAGGTGGATTCTTACCCACTGTGCCACCAGGGAAGTCCTCTTGTTTCATCTTTTCACTAAGCCCAGGTGCATGACCATCCATCCACCGGATAGACAGACCCATCCTAGGGGAAGGCTGCTCACCCAGGTTAACTCCCAGCCATGGCAATTATGTTCATAAAGATGCTAAAGGCTGGAAGGGACCATCTGATCCGCATGGACAGATGTGTCCCTGGGGGCATGCCGGAGAGCTCCCTATTCATTCCTCCACCTCTGGCTTCCCCTCCTGGATCCCCTAAAGTGCTCTCTGTTCAAATACAAGCAAAGAAAGAAAAGGAAGAAGTGCCTGAATGTTCCATACATTCACAAGACACAATCTCTACATCATCATACAGTAAAATGCAGGAGAAATGGAGAATCAAGTAATACTCCTTTATTCAAATTCTGTGTTCTTGGGACTTCCCTGATGGTCTGGGAGATAAGACTCCAGGCTCCCAATGCAGGGGGCCCGGACTCAATCCCTGGTCAGAGAACTAGATCCCGAGTGTCACAACTAAGACCCAGTGCAGCCAAATAAATATATTTTTTGTAAGTTCTCATTGCAAGAAAAAAAAACCTAATTCTGTGTTCTTATAGTCCACTTATTTTGAAAAATATTTTCATAAGTATAGTATTAAAATAATATATAACATTTATTTAACATTTGCTAGATATTGGGCACTTTTTTTTAACCTATAATAATTGGTTAAATTCTTATAGAGATCCTACAAGGTAATTAGTATTTTCTTCTCCATTTTAAATATGAGGAAACTGAAGAAAAGAGAAGCTAAGTGTCTTGCCTAACATCACATGGACAGTGATCTTTTTGCCTGGTGTGAGAAACCAAAAGCTTTTTTAAAGAGTTCTACTTATCAAACCTATCCTTGTATCTATATTTATTTTCCTGCTGCTAAATCCAAATTTGACAAGTATTGTATAGAATGAGCATCTAGTACAAGCAGATTAGCCTTAAGTCAGAAGATCTGGGTTTCTTTCCCTATTTGGCACTTATTTGCAGGGTAATTGTATCTCTGTTTCCCTGGTATTTTATCCCAGGCCTGTCATTCCCAAAAGCACTCAATTTGGTTGATACAGGTCACCCTTTTATTATCAGTCTTTGAGCAAATCACCTAATTTTCCCAGACCCAACTTTGGATACTAACCCCTCCTTTTATTTTATTTTTAGATTAATATGTTTATTTATTTTTATTTCTGACTGTGTTGGGTCTTCATTGCTGTGTGTGGTTTTCTCTCTAATTGCAGCATGAGGGATTAGTTGTCGCTTAGCATGTGGGATCTTAGTTTCCCAACCAGGGATTGAACTTGTGTCCCCTACAGTGGAAGGCAGATTCTTAACCACTGGATCACCAGAGAAGTCCCTACTCCTCCTCTATGATTGCAGAAGATTAAATGGGCCAAAATGTGTGAGGATGCTTAGCCCAAGGTGCAACAAAAGTAGCTGTGCTGCACATACGTTGATGGAAACTGAAAGTCAACAACTGATTAATGTAGCCCTCACCACGGATGCTTAGATTCTTAGTCGCTTCAGTTGTGTCCAACTCTTTGTGACTCCATGTAGCCCACCAGGCTCCTCTGTCCATGGGATTCTCCAGGCAAGAATACTGGAGTGGGTGGCCATGCCCTCCTCCAGGGGATCTTCCTGACCCAGGGATTGAACCCACATACCCTGCATCTCCTGCATTGCAGGCAGGAGACACCAGGGAAGCCCTACCCCTCACCATAGACAGGCAAAATCTAGAGCCTACTCAGAACCGTAGTTATCCACTGTTTGCATCTTGACCGGAAGAGGGTCTTCCCTTTGCTAACTGTGAAAAGACACTCAGCATTCCTGTGTGAAGAGAATTTCTTTTAGGCCACACTGTGCAGCATGTGGCATCTTAGTTCCCCAACTAGGGATGGAACCTGTGCCCTCTACATTGGGAGCTTGCAGTCTTAACCACTGGACCACCAGAGAAGTCCTTTCTGGTTTTTTCTTAAGAGGCTATTTTAAAATAGGCTCTCAGCTCATCCGCAGAAGTGACTAGTCTTACTTCCAGAAAGTGGAGGTTTTGGATCTCAGATCTCCAGGGGCTTCCTCAGTTATTTAAGCACAGAGTACACATCTCGAACTCTCAGAACCAAGGCAGACCCGAGGAGAACAGTAGCTAACTGGGCTCCCTTTGTGGTTTCAGGATGGGAGCCTTCTTCTCCCCATGTCTCCCTGCCTTCAACGTCCTCAAGCTCATTGGGCTGATGTACTTGCGCAGCTGGGCTGTGCTGACCTGCAATGCGCCGCATCAACAAGTCTTCCGGGCCTCCAGGTCAGTGAGTGGAGAGAACTCACACCAACCACACTCACCTTATCCGGGGGCGGGGGGGGGGGTCTCTCCAGCTCTCTGCCTGTCAAAATCTTGTTCACCCTCCATTTGCATTTCCTCCCTGAAGCCATTGCCAATGCCCACTGCTCCCCTCCACCCCGACCTTGGAAGGAATCACAACTCTCCTTTAAGCTCATGACACTTCCTTTACAACTTTTTCCTGAAGTTTAATCATCATCTGGTGTCAGTCACTCAGTCATGGCCGACTCCCCATGGACTGTAGCCCACCAGGCGGCTCTGTCCATGGAATTCTCCAGGCAAGAATATTGGAGTGGGTTGCCATTCCCTTCTCCAGGGCATCTTCCCAACTCAGATTGAACCCAGGTCTTCTGCATTGAAGACAGATTCTTTACCGTCTGAGCTTTCTCAGCTCCTATATATATATACACATATACATATTTATATGTGAATATATATATATTTTTTATATAAAATGTGTGGGCTTCCTGCATAGCACTAGTGGTAAAGAACCTGCCAGCCAATGCAGGAGACATAAGAGACACAGGTTCGATCCCTGGGTTGGGAAGACCCCCTGGAGTAGGGCACTGTAACCCACTCCAGTATTCTTGCCTGGGAAATCCCATAGACAGAGGAGCCTGGTGGGCTATGGTCCATAGGGTTGCACAGAGTCTCACACGATTGAAGCAACTTTGCATGCATGCATAAAGAATGTGTATACATAAATAGAGAAAGGCCTCACAGATTAACACTCACCTACTTACTATGATCTAAGTGGCCCGATATTTTCTTTACTCTTCTAATCAGTCTGTTTCATTAGAGAGAACATGCTGTCTGAGAATCTTTAGGTGAACAGATCATTCATTCTCTTTTCAGGACTGTTTACAGTCCTAAGAACACCGAAGAGGCCTGCACTGTCCTCATGGGAAGCCTGAGTGGCCAAGCTTTCAGATACTAACTTAGGGCCCAGGGCCCAGGGCTTAATCAGGCAGAGACTATTTTTCACCCTGAGCAGCCAGGAGCAGAGCAGATGAAAAGCTGAGAAACACAACCAAGGGAGAGAGTTAAGAACCACAATGAAGGAGTCACACCATCCTCAGACATAGGGGACAAGCTCAAGGCTGGCGACTGGAGAGGGAATCACTACTTAAGGACTCAGGTGGGTGGGACAAAGGTTCTAAGATTTTTTCCATGAATTAGGTTTACTATGTGATGGCCATGGGATCACCTCTCTCTTGGTTTGAGGTGGACAGATGCTCAGCAAGTGTTTAGTAGATGAGCAGGTTGGGCTGGGTGATCATTAATTTCCTTGGAGTATCCATTTCTAGTTTGCTAAGTTGCCTGTGACCCTGTGACAGACCCTTTCCTTAGCAGTAATGGGAGGAGGATATTTTTTCTGTTTGCAGAGAATTAGGGCTACAGTTTCTGTGTTGGTGTTTTGGGGGGCAGGAGAGGTGGGGTGATACATACGCATCAGTGGCAGCTGGCCAGGAAATGAACTCAACACCTGGCACTTGTTTTCTTTGCAGATCCAACAATTTCTATTTGGCAATGCTCCTGTTTATGCTCTTCCTATGCATGCTGCCAACCATTTTTGCTATTGTCCGGTACAAACCATCTCTAAATTGTGGACCATTCAGGTAAGTCAGGGCTTCCCAGATGGTGCTAGTGGTAAAGATCCTGCCTGCCAATGCAGGATACGCAAGAGACTCGGGTCAGATCCCTGGGTAGGGAAGATTCTCTGGCATAGGAAATGGCATCCTACTACAGTATTCTTGCCATTAATAGAGGAGCATCCCATGGACAGAGAAGCCTGGAGGGCTACAGTCCCTGGGGTCTCAGAAGAGTTGGACATGACTGAGCGTGCAAGCATGGGTAAGTTGTTTTAGTTTAGTTGGCTCTGCCTGGAGCTACTGACAGCAGAAGGGAAAGGACTCCTGTATTGAACTGAATTCTCCTGGCTCACAAAGCAGGTCAACAGCAGAGAGAAACTGCAAATTCACATCTTTTGAATCCATGACCAGTGTTCTTCTCTTGCTAAGCCAGCTGCCCTCAAATATGATCATCTTTGTGCTCATCTTAAAGTCCACTTAAAATCCAAATGGGGAAAGGTCTTGCTCCAGTGCTGGAAAGAAATTCTCCCTGGTCAGCCTTACCCTTCTAGAACTCAGTCCGTGTCACTTTTTTAAAAAAAGATATTTTTGATGTGGACCATTTTTTTAAGTCTTTATTGAGTTTGTTTCAACACTGCTTCTGTTTTTTATGCTTTGGTTTTTTTGGCCATGAGGCATGTAGGATCCTAGCTCCCTGACCAGGGATCGAACCCACACCGCCTGCATTGGAAGTATGGAGTCTTAACCACTGGGTGGCCAGGGAAGTCCCCAGTGTCACTTCTGATTCTACACTTATCTAGCTGCATCAAGACAGAAGTCCCTAGAGTTCTCTCCACCTAGGATTTGCTTTCAATTAGGGTTTTTTAAATTTTTTTTTAAATTTTATTTTTTGGCTGTGTAGCCTATGGGATCTTAGTTCCCCCAACCAGGGATCGAACCTGTGCCCCCTGCATTGGAAGCATAGAGTCAACCACTGGACCACTGGGGAAATCACATTAAGTCAGTTTTGATACATTTATGTAACATTTACAGTCTGTCTTTGTATACATTATACACACACACACATACCCCCATGTAGTTATTGACTTCATCTTCAAGCCTACATGTTAATTAAATGAATACTTCAGATAGCATCATCTTAGGAACCCTACATATCATCCACATTCATCGGATACTTATTTTAGCTTTGAAACTGACTTGAGGATTGGCCTCTGGTCAACTAGCCGCCCCCCGCCCCCTCCATTTTTTAAAGGCTCACAGGATCCTTCTGCCAAAAGCAATATAATCTGGAATTATGGTTTTCTTTCTCACAGTGGACAAGAGAAAATTTATGACATCGTGTCAGAAACTATTGAGAAGGACTTTCCCGCGTGGTTTGGCTCTGTGATTGGGTACATCAGTAGCCCTGTGGTCATCCTGCCAGCCGTACTGCTACTTTTGTGAGTACTTTCCTGCCAGTTCTAGGGGGACTTCTATGTGTTTGGCCAACAAGAAAATCACTGCTTCCCAGTTAGAGTATAAATTCAGTGAGTTCATTCAAAAGTCACTTATGGAGCCTGATGATCTGAACAGGAACACTGAATACCATGGGGACCAGGGAGGCAGAGCATGATGGATTCATCACCAGCATTTGGGCCATCGCTGTGGCCATTATCTTGGTGTTCAGTGTCATTATCATTATTTTACTTTCCAGAGGTTTAATCTCAACATGGAATTTTACAGTGCAGCTTGGTAGCATCTGTTTTGACTTAAAGGGAAAAGAACATCAAATAGTGGATCCAAGATTCCTGGCATGATGCACTGTAAATGCCTCACCCATCTTCACTCCTTCCTTACTGTTGTCACCTGTAAAGAATTTCAGGTCCATGGAGGTGGCTTTGAAAATCAGGAGAGAGAAAAAGAATGCCGCCCCTTCCTGGTGCTCACCAGCCTGAGAACTTGCTGATACCTTTTGTCCCCAGAGGGTGGGCTGGGATGGGAGTGGGGGTTGGTTGGTCGCCCACATCTGGCGGGGAACACAGCCAGAAAAGCTGAGAAAGGAGATGAAGTACACTCACCACCCTGTGCTCTTCCACCCTAGCATGCTCATCTATTACCTGCAGAGCATCGCAAGATCCTTAAAACTCAGCAACCACCAGCTCAGAATGCAGATCCAAAATGCAAGTATTGTGTAACCTTTGCTATTGTGAATGTGTGTCAGCCATCTGACTGATGTCCCTGGCCAGGGAATACAAGTGAGGTCATGCTTGGACTCTTGGCCCTCCCTCCCCCTGTCAGGACCTCCCAGGGCTATATAGTTACAAGAATACCCAGGCCTTCTGGTGTCAGAATGAGCCTCCTATCCCAGAGGCTTTGTTGATACCCTCAGCATTTCAGCATCCTCTCCTGTGGCCACATGGAGCTTACAATGGACTAAGCTCTTCTCCTGGCTCTGCTGATGGGGAGGGGAGAAAGGATTCCTCCCCAGCCCCATGTCAAGTTGGAATCTGAGCCCAAAGACACTGTTTAGACTCAAAGACCCACCTTTTCCCTATCTTTTAATTTCTGGTTGTCATTACAGTAAGTCCCCTACATAACGAACAAGTTCTGTTCAGAGAGCATATTTGTAAGTCCAGTTTGTAAGTCCAACAAAGTTAGCATAGGTACCCAGCTAGCATAATTGGCTATATATCACTGTTCTGTCGTAGGTTTATCATGCTTTTCACATAAAAAGTACATAACAAACAGACATACAAAATAAAAAAGCATTTTTAATCCTACAGTACAGTACCATGAAAAGTATATTAGCACAGTACAACAGCTGGCACACAGGGGCTCTCATCAAGTGAACAGGCAAGAAGAGTTATTGACTAGAGGAGGGAGTGGAGGTGGGAGATGGTAGAGCTGAAGGATCATCAGCAATAGGAAACAGAGGTTAAGCTGAGGTGTCACTCAGGCCAGATGTTGATGGAATGTGTGTTCACATCTTTGAAAGTATGTAACAGCCCCAAGAGTGAGCTCCTCCTTAAATTTGGCCCCTGGAGATCTCACTTGCTTCACCCCAGCCCCAGAACCCCATGTGAAAAACTCCCACCTTTCTTTTTTTAAAAACTCTCATAAATATCAATTAATGTAAAGAAACACTAACTCATTTCATAACTAACTCATTTCATAATAAAAAAATGTATCTGGGGACTTCCCTGGCAGTCACATGGTTAAGACTGGGTTTCCACTGCAGGGGGCACAGGTTCAATCCCTGATGTGGGGACTAAGATCCTACAGGTGGCATGGCTTGGCCACTAAAATAAAAAAGAAAAAGAGAGAGAAAGAAAGGAAAGAGAGAGAGAGAGATGCAGCCAGAGTTGCAAAGTGCATTTTTATGAAAACATACATCTCCCATACGGTGGATCCATATTTCTCTTTTGTGTCTCAGGCAAACTATTCTTAGCAGAATCTCAACAAAATCTATCAAAGAGCTGCCCCTAAAAGTGAAACTTGCCAGGGATTAAAGTTCAGCTTTCAGGTGTCAGCATGTATTCATTCAAGTCACAGGCTTAGTGTCAGCAGATGCTGTCCTCAGGTGATGGTAGTAGCTTGGCCATGGCCCAACTATGAGCAATGATGGCCCAACTACCAGCACCTTCCCCAGTCCCCGTAAGAATAGTATTTGTTATTCCTTCCTGCTAAATCCAAAACAAATGTATGATTATCATTTATATTTTAGGCAAGATCTGAAGATAGGAAAAAGGTTGCCCAAATGGTAGAAGGTAAGTACAAACAAGAGTTCCTGATGTCTCAGTTGGTGGGTATTTTTTAAAAAAACAGCCATTTAAGGTTCAATACTAACCAAAACAACAACAAAAAGACTTCCTACTCTAGTTCAGTTTTCACAATTAATTAGACCCAATAAAAATCTAGGGATAGGCAAATACCTGGTGGTCCGGTGGTTAAGATTCTGTGCTCCCAAAGCAGGGGGTGTAGGTTCGATCTTTGATTGGGGAACCAATCCCACATACCTCAAGGTGTGGTCAAAAATAAATAAAATAAAAATGAAACAAAAACTATAACCTAAAGCCTTCTTTAAAAAATAATCTTAGGATATAAATGTTGGTCTGTATCTGTAATTTTTACATCAGATCTAGGCCTGTGAATAATCCCCAAACATGCCTGAAATCAGAAGGAAATATTGAAATAGGCAAGCAAAAGCAGCACAAAATTCTGGAGGAAGCCCATAAGAATGTCTTGGCCTTGTTTACATCCGTGTACTTCCTCTCAGTGGCTCATTTCTTCCTTGCAAGATGCCCTCCCCTGTCTGTGCCCCTTGGGTCATATCCCCCATGATCCTGTGGGGGCCTCTGTGTCCCCCACCTGCAGAACAATGTCAGGTGGGCAGGTCCAGCCATGAAAACAGATTTACCAGTAAGGAATCCAAGCCCAGTGGGCTCACCTCTTCCTGTCTTGCCCAGCAGTTCCTGGACACACTTGTTCCCATTTAGGCTTATCCAGGGAGAAGGAAAAAACATCCCTGTAGAAAGAATGAAAATATAAAGAGGACTGTGGGCTGAAGGGAGGGGAAAGTGGACAGGTACAGCTCAAAGGAAACACATCTGCCACTTGGAGCCACTGACAGGTCATGGCATGAGCCAGAAGGATCACCAGACAATGGCAAAATTGTGTGGCTCGTGTTCTCCTGCAGAAAATGAATGAGAAGATGACCCAGAAGGCTCTGTTGGCCGGTTCTTTTGTCTGCTTTTCCTTTTTTTTTTTTTTAACTCTATGGCTCTTTGATATTTATTTATTTCTTTATTTGGCAGCCCCAGGTCTTAGTTTTGGCACATGGGATTTTTAGTCATGACATGCAAGCTCTTAGTTCCCTGATCAGGGGTGAAACCTGTCCCCTGCACCGAGAGCTCAGAGTGTTAGCCGCTGGACCACCAGGGAAGTCCCGTTTCATCTGCTTTAATCCAGAACTAATTGGGAGGGATGTGTTTCCTTCCAGGAAAATGCCTGATTAAGAGTCTTGAGGCCTCAGGGTTGTGTTCGCTCCAACCACTTTCTCAGAGAGCAAGCCTACACATAAAAACTGCTGTGGGAAGAGACTGTAGCTTACGTTACAAAATTCCACTGTTTCATTGTCGTTCAGTCACTAAGTCGTGTCCCACTCTGCAACCCCTGGACTGCAGCCCACCAGGCTCCCCTGTTCTTGACTATTGTCCGGAGCTTGCTTAGATTCATATCCATTGAGTCAGTGATGCATGTAAACCATCCAATCCTCTGCCACTTCCTTCTCCTCTTGCCCTCAATCTTTCCCAACATCAGGGTCTTTTCTAATGAGTCAGCTCTTCGCATCAGGTGGCCAAATTCCACTGTCATTGTCAAGTATTATTTGCCAATGGAGTATAATTCAGCTTAGTTCCAGTTACCTTCAAAAATTAGGATTTCTATAAATTTTCTCAGGATAGCAGTATCATCCTCTTGTGTCCATTTTCCAGCCCAAGACCACATTTGTTTTTCACAGTGTTCTCTGAATTGTTTCTAAAACATCATAATTATCATCCAAGCTCCACTGTATTCATTACATAGATAAACAACCAGAGCCCCAGAGCTAATGGGGGCCATTAGATGGTGCAGCTAAAAAGACTTGGGGTTCATTTGATTCCTCCTACACTCCTTTCTGGCTTCCTTGGTGGCTCAGTGGTGAAGAATCTGCTTGCCAATGCAGGAGACATGGTCCAGTCCCTGGGTTGGTAAGATCCCCTGGAGGAGGAAATGGCAACACACTCCTGTGTTCTTGCCTGGGAAATCCCATGAACAGAGGAGCCTGGCAGGCTACAGTCCATGGGGTCGCAGAGTCAGACATGACTGAGCGACTAAACAACAACACTTCCTTCCAACTCCAACTCTCAGTGAAGAAATGATTTGAATGATAAAGTTTCACCCATCCGGCTAGGAGTATCCACAAGTGCACACAACTCTAGATCCACCTGCAGCAAGTCAGGATACTGGCAGTGACACCAACCTGAGTGTGTCTTCCTCTTGCCCTCCCTCTTCCTGCAGCCCGAATCCAAACCCAGGATGAAACCACCAAGAGGTTTCCCAAGGACAGTGATCTCGGCAGCCAGCTGTCCTCGGCTCACTCAGCGACACCCCAGAACAACGGCACTGTGGTCAATTTTGACTCATCAAGCAGCAGGAGTAGTAGGGTGGAGACCGTTGCCCAGCCCACGACTCCGAGCCCCCAGCCAGGGCCTGGCAGCCCCAGCTCCCCTCTTCCTGGCTTCTCCAGGTCTAGGCACTATTCTACCAGGTGAGTCATCTGCAACTCGGCAGAAAATCTGCCTTCTTGGTGATACCTTCAGTGATGGCCCAGGGCCATAAAGAGCAGCATAAAAAGCCATTAAGGCTTCAAAGGCCCTAATAGTTTCCAAGGAAGTGAGAGCCATTACATTCCATTTCTGCTGAACATCACAAGGCCACTTCTTCCTGTAACAGCTGCGATTGAGGAAGAAATGAAAGGACAAAGTTTATCAAGCAAGACAAATTCTTCCTTCTCAGCCTTCTGCCATATAACCTATAAGCAAACCTTCCTGCCAGCCTAGGGTATTTATTTCTATAGCCTATAAAAAGAAAATGCCTTAAAAAATTTTTTTTTCCACTGGGGACTTACTTTAATGAAGGGCAGGATTAATTTTATTTTATCCTTTTAAATCAATATTTTTCTAAGATTTTTAAAAATATGGACCATATTTAAAGTCTTTTATTGAATGTGTTACAATATTGCTTCTGTTTCATGTTTTGGTTCTTTGGCCAGGAGGCATGTGGGATCTTAGTTCCCCAACCAGGGATTGAACCTGCACCCCCTGCATTGGGAGGTGAAATCTTAACCACTGGACCACCGGAGAAATCCCAGAGGGATTAATTTTAATTTGTGTGTCAGTTGTTTGCTTATCAATGGCAGCAACACTCTAACTCATGAATTCCCAAAACAAATTTATTGTAAAGAATTCTCTAATGTCTAATTCAACAAGCTTTTATTGAGAATCAACTCTGTCCTAGTCTCTGTGGTTACTATAGCTGCAGAGATGATCAGACACATCTCTGCCTCAAGGAGTTGACAGAATAGTGAGAGAGTGATGTAGGTAATTTTTATATAATGTGATAAATGCTATACTTCTGTGATAAACATGTACTCTCAGAGGACGGGGTAAGTCTATGTGGTGAATGCATAAATATTTCATAGGAGAAATAATATTGGACTTCAGCCTTAAAGACTAAGTAAGAGCTCACTAATGGAGAAAAGCCAAGAATAGTATTGAGTAATAAACTGTTTTTTTTTAACTTTTATTTATTTATTTGGCTGCACCAGGTCTTAACTGCAGCATGTGGGATCTATTTCCCCTGTACAGGGATCAAACCCATGCTCCCTGCATCAGGAACACAGTCTTAACCACTGGACCACAAGGAAAATCCCATAAACTAGTATTGATGAAAAGCCACTTTTTAAATTGATTTAAAAGGAACAATTCCTATATTTCTGGGATAAAACAAACCTGGTGGCAATGTACAATTCTTTTTATTTATTAAGAAACAAACTAGAATATGTTCCTGAGCATTCTTGGTTGGTTATAGACAGTATTGCCTAAGACCTACACCAGTTAAAAAAAAAAGTTTGCAGTTCTTAGTCAATTAAATCCCTCCATTAAAAGGAGACAATGGCATTGAAAAGAATGAAATAATGCTATTTGCAGAAACGTGGATGGACCAGGAGATTGACATACTGAGCGAAGTAAGTTAGACAGAGAGGGAGAAATACCGTATGATATACTTTATATGTGGAATCTAAAAAGAAATGATACAAATGGACTTACAAACCAGAAAGAGACTCACAGACTTAGAGAACAAACCTATGGTTGCCAGTGGGTTGAGGAGAAAGAATGAGGGGAAGGGATACTTAGGAACTTTGGGATGGACATGTACACACTGCTATATTTAAATGGATAACCAACAAGAACCTACTACTGTATAGCACAGGGAAATCTGCTCAATGTTGTATGGCAGCCTGGATGAGAGAGGAGTTTGGAGGAGAATGGATACATGTATATGTAAAAGCTAAGTCTCTTTGCTGTGCATCTGAAACTATCACAACCTTGTTAATCTGCTATACTCCAATACAAAATAAAAAGTTAAAAAAAAGGGGGGGACACTGCAGTAGAGTAAAAAAAATGAAGACAATGGTATTTGTGTAAAAAAAGTGGTTACTATCTGAGGTGATGAATCTGTTCTTTAGCTTGAGTGTGGTAATTATTTCACAATATATACATATATTAAATCAAGTTATGTACTTGAAACATATAATTTTTATATGTCAATTATACCTCAATAAAGATGAGGTATATATTACTATACTAGTAATTGAAAAGGTCCATTACTATTCCACTATACAGACACACCATGATTTATTTAACCAGTTTCCATTTAGTATATTTTTGCTTTGGGGATATAGAGAGAATGTTATAAAGAAAAAACAAAAAAAAAGTAAAAATAGAAAACAAAAAAATTAAAGAATGTACCATAGCAGAGAATAAGCATGAACAAATGTATGATGTTACAAGGAAGTGAAGCATCTTTGGAAAATGACCATAGAAAAGGGTCGAGGGGTTCCCCTGGTGGCTCAGGAATAAAGAATCCACCAGCAATGCAGGAGACGTGGGTTCGATTCCTGGGTGGGGAAGATCCCCTGGAGACGGAAATGGCAACCCACTCCAGTATTCTTGCCTGGAGAATCCCATGGACAGAGCGCACCTGAGAGAGGGATCTAAGGGGTCACAGAGTCAGACACGACTAAGCAACTGAACACACACATACAAGGAGAGCCTGGGAGAGGGCAGGAGATGAGTCTGGAAAGAAGTGGGATGCTGAACCACTAAGGCCTTTGAGTCTCTTTGGAATTAGAACATTGTCTCTTTATTATTATTATAAGTAAAGTTGATTTACAAAGTCACATTAGTAAGTGATTCAGTTATATAAACATAGATATATACATATAACTTTCCTGGTGACTCAGAGGGTAGAGAATCTTCCTGTAATGCGGGAGACTTGGGTTCAATACTTGGGTCAGGAAGACCCCCTGGAGAAGAGAATGGCTAACCAGTCCAGTATTCTTGCCTAGAGAATCCCATGGACAGAGGAGTCTGGTGAGCTACAGTCCGTGTGGTCACAAAGAGTCAGACAAGTGACTTTCACTTTCTTTTCACCTTATTCTTTTGCAGATTATTTTTCATGATAGGTTATTACAAAATACTGACTATTGTTCCCTGTACTGTACAGTAGGTCCTTGTTGTTTAAACTTTTTATCTTTTTTTGTTTGTTTTCACTCCAGGCTGACTATATTATTGGCAAGATCTTTTATATTTTAGTTCTAGGCTGGCTAAGCTATTGGCAAGACCATTTCTGCATTATATGGGTCAATTATTTCAACTGTACCTACACATAAGAAAGCAGAACCCTGCAGTCTTTTCATGGAGACTGGATGTCGAAAAGGCGCACTGCCCCTAACTTATATGGAGGATTATATTTGATCAGAATGTAACACAGTGAAAACAATATAGGTAAAATATAGGAGGGTTATTTGGCAGGGGGGATTGTCTTGTTTTAAAGACAGTAAATTAACAGGAATTGTCTTTGTGTATATATTGGGTTCTGGCAAGGAGGAGGGATTCTAATAGTCCTGGAGAGGTGTCGGTTGAAAATAAAACAAACAAAAAAAATGCACAACCTAAAGTTTGAGACTTATGTTTTAGTCAGCAGACTTACTGAGGACTGGGCTTCCCTGGTAACTCAAATGATAAAGAATCCACTTGCAATGCAGGAGACCCAGGCTCAATTCCTGGGTCAGGAAAATCCCCTAGAGAAGGGAATGACAACCCACTCCAGTATTCTTGCCTGGAGAACTCCGTGGGCAGAGGAACCTGATGGACCACAGTCCATGGGGTTGCAGAATCAGACATGACTGAGTGACTAACACACACACACGCACACACACACACACACGCAGTGAGGACTATGGCCTAGGACATGGCATCTCAGATAGTTCTGAGGGACTGTTCCAAAGAGGTAAGGGAGAAGTCAGAATACACCGGAAGATTTGCTGGAAAAAAAAACATGCAGTGGAACATCAAAGGATAACTGCTAGTTGCAAAATACAGATGTCTCAACTTAATGACTTTAGTGCTTTAAAAAAATTTTTTTTATTGGAGTATAATTGCTTTTCAATATTGTGTTTATTTTTGCTGCACAACAACATGAGTCAGTCATATGTATACATATATCCCCTCCCTCTTGAGCCTCCTTCCATACACTCATCCCACTTTTCTAGGTCATCACGGAGCACCGAGCTGAGCTCCCTGTTCCTCTATGGAAAGATGCAAGAATCTGGGCTCATTGAAATCATTCATTTGATTTGAATCTCAACTACCTAGGGCCAGTATCTTGTTTTTCTCTATTCTGAAACTCCTTCAGGGTGCACTGTTTTGGGTAGCTGCTGATGGCTTTACATTCTTGGTTTAAAGAAATGGCAGGTGACATTCTTTTTCTTTTTTTTTAGTGCAACAATAGAAATGTATTGTCTCTTGGTTATGTAGACTGGAAATCTGAGCCTAAGTTGTTGGCAGGGCCCTGTTCCCACTGAAGGCTCTAGAGAAGGATCTGTTCCAAGCCTGTCCTGGCTTCTGGTAGTTTCTTGACTTGTGGCAGCGTAACTGAAGGTGACAATCTTTGTCCATACATTATGGGGAGGAACTGTCCCAGAATCTGGACAGCTACATGGCAGAGATGATCAGGGGCAATGTTCACAGAATGCACTCCACAATCCCTAGACACACTATGTTGTCCTTGTGGTTTAGTCACTCAGTCATGTCTGACTCTTTGTGATCCCATGGACTGTAGTGCACCAGGCTCCTCTGTCCATGGGATTTCCCAGGCAAGAAAACTCTAGTGGGTTTCCATTTCCTCCTTCAGGGAAGCTTCTCAACCCAAGGATCCAACATGCATCTCCTGTGTCTCCTTTATTGCAGGTGAATTCTTTACCTCTGAGTCACTGGGGAAGCCCCTAGGCCTAAAGAATTCTGGAGATGTTGAATGGGGTGTGTGTTCTTCACATGAGAAGGACATGAATTTGGGGGGCCAAAAGCCAGAATGCTATGGACCAAACTGTATCCCCTCAAAATTTATATACTGAAGTCCTAACCACTGATGTGACTATATTTGGAGACAGGGTCTATAAGGAGGTTAGAGGTTAAATGGGGCCAAACCGGGAGGGAGGGGTGGCTTAATCCAATAGGAAACGTCCTTATAAGAAATGGGAGAGATACCCAGAACTCTGTCTCCTTCTGTGTGTACACAGAGAAGAGGTCATGTGAGGATGGAGACAGAGGAGCCTGGCAGGCTCAGTCCTGTCCATGGAGTTGCAAAAGAGTAGGATACGACTTAGCAACTAAACAAGAGCTACAATGTTAGAAAAGGACTATCAACAAGCCAGTAAAAGAAGTCTGACCAAAACCAACCCTAAGAACACCTTGATTTTGGACTTCTAGTTGCTAGAGCTGTGAAAAAATAAATTTCTGCTGTTTAAGACATCCAGTGTGTGCTTTTCTTTTATGGTGCCCTGCAGACTATTGGGGCTCCCCAGGTGGCGAAAGTGATAAAGACCCACCTGCCAATGCAGGAGACGTGAGAGATGCAAGAGAACACAGGTTCGATCCCTGGGTTGGGAAGATCCCTTGGCAGAGGGCATGGCAACCTACTCCAGTTTTCTTGCCTGGAGAATCCTGTGGACAGAGGAGCTTGGCAGGCTGCAGTCCATGGGATTGCAAGAGTCAGACACTGCTGAGTGACTAACACTACACAGGCTATTACTAATACAGGGTCCTGCACATTGCTTAAAAATTTTTCCTAGATGTTTTTTATTATGATGTTATTCAAGGTGGCATTTGGAATAGGGGTTCTGAGACTTTTGTGCACCTATTAATAGTGGTCCTTTGTTCCTTTTCTTGAAGCCTGCTCTTACTGCTATTGCCTCACATCAGTCTACCTTGTAGCTTCTGTTACTGAGCTGCTGCATTCAAAGGGAACTGACCCTGGTTTACCTTCATATTGGAGGACAAAGACACTACGATTTCCAAATGCTATCCTTGAGGTTACGACTGGGAAGTTTAGGATAGGATAGTAAGTCCCCTGAACCAGCCGGTGTGCAGTGTGGTCAGCAACCTGTGCAGATGAGTTTCCTGAATGTCCTGCAGGAGTTGGGCGCTCTCCTCTCCCCTGTCAGGGAGCGGCCCTGATGAGTGGGGTTTGATTTGTTACAATATTGTTTCTGTTTTACCTTTTGGTGTTTTGCCCTCATGGCATGTGGGATCTTTGCTCCTCTGCCAGTGATGAAACCCGCACCCCCTGCAGTGGAAACGTGGAGTCTTAACCACTGGACTACCAGGGAGGGCCCCACTGGACTCACTGATACTTCAGAGCAGGTTTTGGTGAAAATGTAGTGGCAGCGGCCACCTGTCCTGCAACACTTGGATGGCTTGGGGCTCTGAGAACACCAAAGCCACAGGTGTCTAACTACCTCTGTCTTTCAGGTATCCATGTGGCCCATGTATGAGCACAAGTGACCTTCATAGGAGCAGATCCTGCACACCTGGGATGTTTACAAAACACATTGAAGATGTTCACTCAGAACCTCTTTTCCGAAAAGATCTTCAGCTAATCAACCATGGGTCAGGGGTCTCAGCCTTGGTGCCACATAGTCCTCGGTCCCATGCCCCCAGATACTATCTCATTAATGAACGTGACTCTCAGCAAAAGAAACATTCAACTTTCTTGCCAGAAAGACATTTCAAGATAGACACCTCTGGGGACACTGTGGATATGTACCCCAGGAACATGAGACGGTGTGCACCCCTGGCCTCTCCACAGCTCAGTGAAGAAGAGGAGGAGGTTCCGAGGAGACAGGTGAGCAGACGGGCCTTCCACCCTCGCTCCTTGACCGACCTCCACGGGGTGCATCATTTTTATGTTGGCGAAAGTTCAGGAAGTCAGGCCCTGACTCCTGAGCTCCAGAGACCAACACATTACACATCTTGGAATGATGGCTTTGGGGGTCAACTTGACAGGCCAATGTACATGCACAAAAAAGCACGCTCCCAGAATTTCCAATACCCCCAGCACCCTCTGAAGCCCAGGGCTAAGGCCAAGTTTGAACCATCCATCACAGAATCTGATTTCATGTCAGCGGCATCCAGCAGGGACCAGCAGAACAGTGGCACCAACCAGTACTTCCAGGTCACCCACAGCCAGCCCAAGTGCCCAAGGTCTGCGGGCCAGTTTGGCCGGAGGAAGGCAATATCGAGGCAGGAGTTGACTGCAGGTCTGAATGACCTGATTTGTTCAAACGTCTAGGGCTTTCTTCTGGCATCCTGTTCCTAGAAATCACTCCTACTGGTGGAGTGTGGTGTGGTTGACAATGCATGGTCCCTCCCCTTCTGGGAAGACAGACAAACACACCCAGCGGTTGTGATCAGTGGGGCATATCCAGGCACATCGTCTGCTGGTTGTGGCCCAGAGACCCACAGGGCCATGACTCCCTAATCTACAGCAACCGAACACAAGTGGGCTGTGTCCGGGGGTCTCTGGGTCCAGACACTTTAGGAGATTGTTTCAAAAAACATCAACCTTTGACCTCCATTCAGTGTGACTCCAGATCATAAGCAAGCCAGGCAGCTCACCTAATTGCAAAACCCTTACGTGACATGTCTACCCTTGTCCTGAATCTTAGGAGTGACCTGTTTGTGTTATAATGTTCTCTTGCAGCACACATAACTCAGTCCCCCCCTGATAAGCACCCCAAAATGAGTTGGCTGCCCTTAAAGATTTCACAGTGCTTAATTACTTCATATTAATAATCAGCTTGATAGTGACCAGAGTAATTAAAATTTATTAAGAATGTAAGATGTTGAAGCTGAAACTCCAATATTTTGGCCACCTGATGGGAAGAGCTGACTCATTTGAAAAGACCCTGATGCTGGGAAAGATTGAAGGCGGGAGGAGAAGGGGACAACAGAGGATGAGATGGTTGGATGGCATCACCAACTCAATGGACATGAGTTTGAGTCAACTCCGGGAGTTGGTGATGGACAGGGAGGCCTGGCATGCTGCAGTCCATGGGGTCGCAAAGAGTTGGACACGACTGAGCAACTCAACTGAACTGAACTGAAGAATGTACCATACTGTTTACCCAACTATGTATCTGTATTAGGGCTTCCCCCATGGCTCAATGGGTAAAGAATCGGCCTGCAATGCTGGAGACAGGAGACAGGTTGGATCCCTGGGTCCAGCAAGATCCCCTGGAGGAAGAAATGGCAACCCTCTCCAGTGTTCTTGCCTGAAAAATCCCATGGACAGAGGAACCTGGTTGGCTACAGTCCATGGGGTTGCAAAGAGTCAGACATAACTAAGTGATGAAGCACACACATATATCTGTATTAATTAGTCAGGACCTTTGGGTTGGAGGTAACAAAATCCCCAAGGTTTATTAGTTCCTTTAACTAGGAGGGATGAGAATCAAGCTAGCTTCAGGCTCAGCTGGACCTGGCTATCAAACATCTTCTGGATTTTGTCTTTTCACCTCTCAGCTCTACTTCTGTTTGTTGACCCTGTTTTCTCTTACTGCCAACAGGCTTTCTCCATGTAGTAGGTGAAGGAGGAATGCACAGACACAGAAAATTCCAGGTTGATGGCACCCAGCCAATGAGCCCCAAGGAAAGAACAGAACTATACCCATTTGCACTCTTGTTTCCATGATAACTCTTTCACTTTAAATTTATCTTTTTTCTGTCTCGTCCATCAGACTGTTGAGTTCCTTTGAGAGAGGAATGGTGTTTATTCATTTCTGCAGAACTGGTAACTGATACATAACACATTTTGTACTTGTTTTCTCCCTCTCACTACATAACAAACTTAGTAACTTAAAACAACACTTATTTATCAACTCAGTTTCCATAGTTCACCTGGATGCTCAGCTAGGGTCTCAAGCAAGGTGTCATCCAAGAGCCTGCATCTCATCTGGGGCTAGGGGGTCACCTTCCAATGTTGTGTGGCTGTTGGCAGCATTCACTTCCTTGGGGTTGTAGGACTGAGGTGTTCTGCTCCCGGGGGCAGCCTGCATTTCCCTACCACATGATCCTCTCCATAGTGTGGCTGTTTGTATCTTCAAGGCCAGCAAGAAAAGGCCTTCTCACATTTGAATCTCTCTCTTGGCAAGACGTGGATTATCTTTTAAAGGACTCACCTGATTAGGTCAGGCCCATTCAGGATAATGTCCTTTTGATTCATTCAAAGTTAATTAGTCAGAGATCTTAATTATATCTAAATAAATTCACCTTTACCATATAATAGAACCTCATCATGAGAGTGAAATCTTATCAGATTCACAAGTGCCAACACAACAAATTTTCAAGAAATGTACAACAGGGGCAGGAATTCTGGGGGGCATCTCAGAAGGCTGCCTATCCTAGGTATTTCATGAAATATCTGTTGAGTGTAAATGGATGGATAAATAAATGACTGGACTGGAGTAATGAATAAATTATAAATGACATGGTAACAAGATTATCTTCCAAGATCTACAGCTAATTCTAACCTCAGAGAAAAATCTAGTATAAATAATGCCATTTTAAAAATAGACAGAGGTCTTCCCTGGTGACTCAGTGGTAAAGGACCCACCTGCCAATGCAGGAACCACAGCAGGAAGAGAAGCCACTGCAAAGAAAAGCCTGAGTACTGCAACTAGAGAGTGCCACAACTAGAGAAAAGCCTGTGCAGCAATGAAGACTGAGCACAGCCAAAAATAAATAAAACTTTTAAAAATAAAAAGTAGACCCAGGTTAACACTCCTCACAAAAACCATGAAAAAATGTGCAGTATTTTCACATTTCTTGACAGTGCTTAATTACTTCGCATCATGCCCTCCAATTTTTTGGCTACCTGATGCAAAAAGCCAAGTCGTTGGAAAAGACCCTGATGCTGGAAAAGACTGAGGGCAGGAAGAGAAGTGGAGGACAGAGGATAAGATGTTTGGATGGCATCACCAACTCAATGAACATGAGTTTGAGCAAGCTCCAGGAGATGGTGAAGGACATGGAAGCCTGATGTGCAGCAGTCCATGGGGTTGCAAAGAGGCAGACATGACTGAGTGACTCAACAACAACAAAATGCCCTCCCAACCACGACAGACCCAGGAGGTTGTGGCGTGTTCCAGATGAAAAGCTTACCCTGCCATGGGAACATCCCTTTGTGGTACAGGTGCCTGCAGGAATTCGTCCATGTGGGTACTCTAGTTCACATGCTTGGTCTTGGGGCTGTAGCCTAGAGCTCCCTGGGACATTGAAAAAGCCTAGCTCTGCCCCAGGCAGCAGTACCTGTGTCTGTGTGCAGGTAGGGGAGCATTCCATCCGGCAGGCCTTGCAGCATTCCTAAGAAAACACGAGTTTAGCCAATATTTATCCAGGGTTGCAGATGTGTTCATCAACTTTCAGTGAGCAACACAGCTCACATACACTCCAGCACTTAGTATCAGGTATGACTTTAATTTAGAGCAATTTAAAAGATGCAGAATAGTACAGAGACTAGTGTGACAAGCACTCATACTTCTATTATGTCAACAACTGTTGACATTTTATTTCCATCTAGTCATTTTGTTATTAAAATATTACAGATACCAAAATTTACTCTAATCCTCACACTTAGTTGCTTTCCCCTCATGCTACTAAGTTCAGCATGTGTCCATTCACCATTTGTTTACAGTTACATATGTTGTATGCATATAACTATATATGTATGAACATCCATAAACAATATGTAAGTACGTCTTAAGTAAGTACTATAATACTGCATGTATTGTACATACTTACCTTTTTAATGTCCGTTGAAGAAATAAACAGATCAAGCTCACTTATTGTAACTGCTATGTAGTGTTTCATCATGAATAAACTACACGATATTTATCCATTTCTTACTGATGGACATTGAGGTCATTCCCACTTCTTTGCAGCTAAAAATAATGTTACACTATTCTATACAGTGTCTACTGCACATGTGCCCATGATGAGTTTGAAGTGGATACTGGTACTTTTTAAAAATTATTTTTAAAAAGATTTTTATTGAAATATAGTTGATTTACAGTGTATTAGTTTCAGGTGTACAGCAAAGTGATTCAGTTACATACACAAATATATACATATATAAACAAATATATATTATATAATAATATATAATAATAATTACATATATATATATATTCTCTTTTAGATTCTTTTCTATTAGAGGTTACTACAAGATACTAAGTATAGTTTTTGTCCTCTACTACAAGATACTGAGTAGAGTTCCTGTTCCAGTAAATCCTTTTTAATTATCTATTATACATGTAGTAGTGTATGTATTTTGGAGCTTCCCAGCTGGCCCAGTGGGTAAAGAATTCACCTGCAATTCAGGAAATGCAAACAGATGGGAGTTCCATTCCTGGGTCAGGAAGATCCCCTGGAGGAGGGCATGGCAACCCACTGCAGTATTGCCTGGAGAATCCCATGGACAGAGGAGCCTGGTGGGCTACAGTCCATTCGGTCACAAAGAGTCGGACATGACTGACACTAAGTGTACACATATCACTATATATAAAATAGATAAACAACAAGGACCTACTGTATAGCGCAGGAACTATAGTCAATATCTTGTAATAACCTATAATGGAAAAGAATCTGAATCACTTTGCTGTAAAAATGTTAGCGACTTAAGGATGATTCTCTTGGTCACTCCCCTGCCCCGCCTTTTTTTTTTTTTTCTGCTGCATTGTGAGGCATGTGGGATCTTAGTTCCCTAACCAGGGGTTGAACCAATGCCCCATGGTTTGGTAGCACAGAATCTTAACCACTGGGCCACTAAGGAAGTCCATCTTGGTCATGTTAGATAGTTAGGATAGGGAAAAGGAGTCCAAAATGTCGGTGGCTAAAAGACAAGGAAGGGAGAAGCCTGCGAAAATAGAACAAAGGAAGGTCAAAGGAAGGTCTGAGGACTGGAGTGAAGACCTCAAGTAGGACAAACAGCACTCCTGGCTAAGCCCAATTTGCATGGGGCAGGCCCAGGGGGAGGAAAAACATATAAAAGGAGGAGCCAAAGCGCTTTCTCTCTCTCTCCCCCACGTGCATATGCTCTCTCTCTCTCTCCCACGTGCGTGCACGCTTTCTCTCTCCCATGTGCATGCGTGCTTTCTCTCTCTCTCTCCCACGTGCGTGCACGCTTTCTCTCTCCCATGTGCATGCGTGCTTTCTCTCTCTCTCTCCCACGTGCGTGCGCTCTTTCTCTCTGTCTCTCTCTCTTTCTCTCCCCCGCGCGCTGTGGCACTCTTCTCTTTGCGTCTTTGGGTTGACACGCCCTCACGCCTTGAAGATGGATTTTCCTGCTATTATCTAAATAAAACAGAGCTGCAACAACACTGATTTGTCTAAGAACTCTAACATGGTCCATTCGAGACCTGAGAGCTATGACACGGTCTGTCCAAGACCTGAGAGCTGTGACACGCCGAGGGCTTTAATGTCCGTCACTCCAAATCTTTGGTGTGATGACACAAGAACCAAGGAGCATACACTCACCTGACAGTCACTTCTTACATTTCTGGATTCATGAATGCCATGAAATTCAAAGAAAAGTTTTCTACACACCTCTAGAAGACTAACTTCCCTAATCTGTGGTAGCATTCCTGTTTTCCTGATACTCTGTAGTTGCGTTTTTGTGTTTTTCCTCCTTTTTAGGGTTCATATGTTATTGTACGTGTTTTAACCTTTGCCCATTTCACAGTAAACACTGCATATCCTTACAGGACGTGGGAATCAGTAAAGCATATGAGTCAACATGTGACCTTCAGAAATATAAACAGGTGTGGTGTGTACCATAGTTCTGCCACTTATTAGCTATGTTGCCTTGGTCACCCTTACCTGTGTGATACTCTGTTTTTAAAATTATTTATTTTTATTTTTGGCTGTGCTGGATCTTCATTGCTGCACAGGCCACTCTAGTTGCCATGCGTGGGCTTCTCATTTCAGTGGTTTCTCTTGGTGTGGAGCGTGGGCTCTAGGGCACGTGGGCTCAGTAGTTGTGGCTCCTGGACTCTAGAGCACAGGCTAAATAGTTGTGGTGTACAGGCTGAGTTGCTCAGCAGCATGTGGGATCTTCCCTGTTCAGGGATCAAACCCATGTTCTCTGCATTGGCAGATGAATTCTTAACCACTGGATGATAGATAAGTGTTGGCAGTTTCTTAACCCAGGTTGTTCAGTCACTCAGTCATGTCTGACTTTTTTCAACCCCATAGACTGCAGGCAATTGGAGATGGTTGTCTCTACCTGTGAGGGTTAAATGGTACAACACAGGTAAAGTGGTTGGGACAGTGGCCTGCCAGTGAATAAAGAAGTACCTGTATGCCGACAGAGTAGATCACCTAGCACCTGCCTGACTAAGTAAACATGCATACAATTCTTAATCAATGTCTACGTAGAAAGCAAATACTCCATTTAGGAGCTTTTAGGATCAGAGCACTTGGACACTTGGCCCACCCCTTGGTAGTCTGGTGGTGGCTTGAGTTAGGAATCTCTGGGCCTCCTGCACCATAGGCACTCAGTTAAAATTCATCTTGGACTTCGGTGAGGTGTGCCCTGGACAACTGAGTGACTTGGAGGCCTGACAACCTCGCGGGTGGGGCCTGATCAATGGGATCTACAGATGTCAGTCATTCTTTCTGCCCTGGTGGCTCTGAATGAGCCTCCAGCAGACTGCTAAACAGGCCAGCTGAGCAGCTCTGGTGGGCGGGTGGTGCCCAGCCGCTCATCCTGCCCTGTCCCAGGCTCTGGAGACAAAACAGATGAGAGCCTGCCCTCGGCTGGCGCTACTTCACCCAGCCCCTGCTGCCAGTGTATGAAGACCTCGGGGATGAACAGTTCGCCTCTCTGAATATTTCACATATACCCAGGACTGGCATTTTCTGGCAGCAAAGATTAAAGTGTCTTACAGTGCTAGAAAAATTTTAAAGCCATGCTCCATTTTATAAGTATCAGTTCAGTTCAATTCAGTTGCTCAGTCGTGTCTGACTCTTTGTGACCCCATGAATCACAGCACGCCAGGCCTCCCTGTCCATCACAAACTCCCGGAGTTTACCCAAACTCATGTCCATCAAGTCGGTGATGCCATCCAACCATCTCATCCTCTGTCGTCCCCTTCTCCTCCTGCCCCCAATCCCTCCCAGCATCAGGGTCTTTTCCAATGAGTTTGTAAGTATAAAAATCTCTTTAATGTTCGATGTCTAAAAGTTACTTTCTAGAGTAAAACTTACTTTCCCTCAGCTTTGTTTTCACAGTGTTTTATCCCCAAACAAAATTCTAATAAGCTTCAGACTATGAGAGTTCAAAGCTGCGACTTTAAGAATTATTCTACATTGAATTTTTTAATGATGCTTTTAAATTTAAGAAAACCTACATGTCAGTAATTAATAGAGTAAGCAGTAGATAATGCTATAAAGTGAAAAAATGTCTTTTGGCATTACCCCCTCCTGTTAACAGTTTATTCTATGCCTTTTTAGCAGTGAATATTCCAAACTAAAGTACATATATCAACATATATAACATATATGTAGACATAGAAATATAAGCATATACAAACACAACTTGAGTTATTTCTCTTTCTCACTCAAGATATATATACATGATCTATGACATATATATTATATACATTTACTTACTGTATGCCATGCACCATTCTCATTGCTTTTTATTTATTAAATTCTTTAACCCATATGTCAACCCAATGACTTAGTATTACTATTGTTTTTATTTTCCAAATGAGGATGAAAAATTCTGGAATGGTCAATTATGTACCGAAGTCACAGCTAACAAATGGGGACACTGGGATTTGAACTAGGGCACTCTGACCTGAGCCCTGACTCTTATCTGTAGCGCCGTTCTCCTTCAACTTATATATATATATATATGTATATATATATATATATGTATATATATGTATATATATATATGTATATATATATATATGACATTTTTCCTGTTACTACACATATAAACATTTGTCCTGTGTCAGGAAGATCCCCTGGATGAAGAAATGGCAACCCACTCCAGTATTCTTACCTGGGAAATTCTGTGGACAGAGGAGCCTGGCAGGCTACAGGTCCATGAGGCTGCAAGGAGTCAGACAAGACTGAGTGACTAAGCATGCACCCATGGGGTAGTTGGTGGGGATAAAAATTTAAATAATTTTAAGTTATTTTAGAGTTAAGGTTGAAATACCATTTTATTTCCTTACTAGAGAGTGAACTGCTCTTGAATAAAATAGTTGACTCATATTTACTCATACTTCTAGTTGCCTAGGCTCTTTTGAGCATTTCCTATCTGTTCCAGCCCCACCTTTGTTCATCTGGGCCACATTATATGAATGGCTACATAACAGTCCAATAAATGGATATCCTGTAACTTTGTTTAACCTACTGACAAATAATAGGCTGTTTCCAGTCGTAAAATCAACTTTATACACCTGTGTGCAGGAGTTGCTGGGTCAAAAAACAAGTAAATTAAAATTTTAATATATTATTCTATTCCCAGAAGGTTACAAAAATTGACACTCTCACCCACAACTGTTTATCCATATGCTTACCAACATAGGGAATTAACAAACCTCTTCAGAGTTGTCTCTCAGATAGGTGTAAAAAGTGCCCCTTGTTTAAATTTGTAACTCCCTATCAGTGAGGGTGGTTCTGCATCTTCTCATATCTTTGTTAGCCGTGCTTATTTTTCTGTAGTGTCTGTTCATATCTAATGCATCCTTTTTGTCTGTGGGGTTATTTGAAAATGATTTAGTGATTTCCAAGAGCACTTTGTACATTAAGAAAACTTCCTTTTAGTTAAAATAGGCTAATTTCCCCTCAGACTGTGCTCTGACTTTTTATGATATTTTGATGTGTTAATTTTTTAACCATGGTTAACTTACTGGTCTTAAAAAAAATACATATATATATATGTGTGTGTGTGTGTATGTATTTGATGTGGACTATTTTTAAAAGTCTTCATTGAATGTTACAATATTGTTTCTGCTTTCTGTTTTGGGGTTTTTTGATCCAAGACGTGGGATTTTAATTCCCTGAACAGGGATCAAACTGGTACCCTCTGCATTGGAAGGCGAAGTCCTAATCACTGGACCTCCAAGGAAGTCTTTTTTTTTTTTTTTGGTGGCTTCAAGGAACATTCACATGCATTATTTCACCTGGCATTACTTCACCTGGCATTACTTCGCCATCACACTGGCATGGGACAACATCTACCACGGTCTTGCTTCACCTATAAGCAAACAGACTGAGTGACTTGCTCAAAAGCACACAGTGAATTGTGCATGAAGCCAGGTTTAGAACTCTCTAATTCCGCATCTGGCCTCTCAACACCTGGCAGTCCATCACATCTTCCATGAAATGGTTTCAAGTAGTCATTTTCTTTACACCATTTTTTTAAAAACTTGAGATGAAACAATATGCACCCAAAACAGAAAATAAAAACTGATCTCAGTGTTGATCTTCTCAAATATTTAGTTGGTTATAGCTCTGAAAAGGGGGTCCCGGGTGGCTCAGCGGCTTCCCTTGTAGCTCAGTCAATAAAGAGTCTGCCTGCAGTGCAGGAGACCTGGGTTCCATTCCTGGGTCAGAAAGATCCCCTTGAGAAGGAAATGGCAACCCACTCCAGTATTCTTGCCTGGAGAATCGCATACACAGAGGAGCCTGGCAGGCAGTGTCTAGATAGTGTGTCTTGATAGTCTATGGGGTTGCCAGAGTCAGACACGACTAAGCACATGCAGCAGCAGCAGCTACACTTGGGTTCCATCCCTGGGTGGGGAAGATGCCCTGGGGAAGGGAATGGCAACCCACTCCAGTGTTCTTGCCTGGGAAATCCGATGGACAGAGGAGCCTGGCAGGCCACAGTCCATAGGGTCGCAGAAGAGTTGGATACGACTGAGGGATTAAACGACAACAACCACGCAGTGACGGAGGGAAGGAGCTGAGGGGATGTGATCTCCACTCACTCCCCCAAGGTGGAGGCCACCAGAGGCACAGAACTCTGCCATCTCTTAGCTGCGCCCAGCTCCGTGCCAGATGCCAGCGCATCCCAGTGTCTCCCAGACATCCCTTAGAGGTCTTTCAGGCACCTCCTACTGAATAAGACCAGAACTGAACGCACCATGTCCCCCCCAACCCTGTCTCTGGCCTCCCTCGCAGTTAAGCTACCAGCGGCTCAAGCCAGGAGGTGGGAGTCATGAGCTTCCTACTCCTCCAGTCTCCACCATCTGTCACAGAGATCTCTATGTTCTAGCTTTCTAAACACTTTCCGAGGGTCCTCCTCTCTCCACCTGCACCACCACCCCCTGCTCCAGGCCACCCCCATCTCTCCCATGACCGCTGCAGCTTCCTAACTGCCCCCACCTCCACCCCCGTCTCAGGGCACACTGCCTCTCCCACCCCTACAACAGCCGCCCTAGAAAGGAATATCTGATTGCAATTTCACCATCATCCGCCCTGGCAGAAAGCCTCTGCGCACTCAAGACAAAAGTCCACTATGCTTACACAAGCCTACGACGTCGTCCAAGACCTCTTCCCGCCCTCTTGGCTCTCCACCACAGTCCCTCCCAGGTTCCGGCGGCCCCAAGCCCCTCCCTGAGCTGGGACGTGCTAAAGGCGGATCCCGCTGGACCTTGCAGGGGGCGCCCTGGACCAGCCCAGGCTGAGCTCGTAGTGCGCGCTGCGGGGCCGGTCTATCTCTGGCCCTGCTAATCTCAGAGTAGGGCGGGACCTATCAGACGGTCTAAACCAATCCTAGATCGGGGGCGGGGCTGGGGCGGGACTCTGGGCTCCAAGCCAGGCCCCGGTTTTCCGGCTTTCCAAACCCAAGTGCGGGGCCGCAACCGCACACCCCGCCTGCGACCCCTAGGCCTCGCGCATCTTTCCGCGCAATGGACCCGGCGACGGCCGCGCAGGTGAGCGAGGCGGTGGCGGAGAAGATGCTCCAGTACCGGCGAGACAACTCGGGCTGGAAGATTTGCCGGGAAGGCGTGAGTGAGGAACGGGGCAGAAAGGGGTCGTGGGGCCTTTGCTCACTGGGGCTAGGGTCTCAGAAGCCCCTAGGCTCCTCCTCTCCCAAGAGGTTTTCTGCATTCTATCCCCTGGAGCTAGATTGAAGAGGAGATTCCACTGGGGGTTATTTCCTTAAAAAAAAAAAAAAAAAAANAAAAAAAAAAAAAAAGGGCCAGTTGTGCACACAATGACCCCCGGGGGTTGAGTGTGTGTCCATTTCACTAAATGACTTAGCCAAGGTCACCTGCTGGCAAATGGTTAGGGTGGAGTGGAAAGCACCAAACAGACCTAAATTGTCCGCGAAAACAAGATGCATGGTGGTTTTTAAAGTGATTTGAAAATCTCCAGTGCTCTAAACCTCTTCCAGTAGCCACACGAGATCCCTTTGTCCACCGCATCCTCCTGGAGGCAGCTTTGTTCAGGACTAGTCCCCACTCTGTCACGAATCAGTTGGGTCTCACTTTGGAAACTTGCATCTATTGAGGCTCTTGACTTTTCTTCCATAAAACAGGGGATCGGGCTCTATCTCCCAAGAGCCCTTCTAGCTCTAAAATTGTGCGATTCTGTGCCTTTTGACAGAACGGAGTTTCAGTTTCCTGGAGGCCATCTGTGGAGTTTCCAGGGAACCTGTAAGTGCATGCCTTGCTCAGAGCTCCTTAGGGTGTCACACCTCTCCTGATGTTTCTGTGGGTTTGCTTCCTCTGAGACGGCAGTCCATCCTAGCACCTGGAATCAACTTGCCAGTCATCCTTCGGAAAAGCTTCTGCATCTAACTAAATCATTTCCTCAAACTGTATTCTTGTGAAAGCTTAGCATCCGTCTGTTTCTGCAGGCCCATGGGGAGGTGGGCCAGTAGATGTCAGCCCCTTCTCTGCAAGGCTGTCTTAAAGAAGAGTGGCACACATGGCTTCTAGTCCTTCTGCGTAATCCCAGGATAAACAAGTCTGGTTGATGCCTTAGGGTCAATTGCTCTTTGTGCTCCAGGTACAGAGGAAAAGGCATTGTGAACGGGACACCAGAGCAGGTGTGGGACTGCGTGAAGCCACTTGCTGGGACTTTACGAGCTCAGTGGGATGAGAATGTGAACAGTTTTGAAATTATTGAAAGCCTCACTGATGTAAGTCTTTCCAAGCACTGTTATCCAGAGACAGTAAGCTGACTCTGTCCCCTCTGTGAAGGGTCAGTGACACCTTTAGGCAAGGGGTTGTTGTTTTGTTGCTAAATTGTGTCTGACTCTTTGCAACTGTAGCCAGCCAGGCTTCTCTGTCCATTGCATTTCCCAGGCAAGAATACTGGTGTGGGTTGCCATTTCCTTCTCAAGGAATTTTTTACGACTCAGGGATCGAACCTGCCTCTCTTGCATCTCCTGCATTGGTAGGTGGATGCTTTACCACTGTGGCACCTGGAAAGCCCTTAGGCAAGGGGAGTGCCCAGCAAATAGGTTGTGCACTGTTCAACACTTAAACCCAGCTTCAGCCCAGGTATAGGTATGTAACAGTGAGACCCAGAGAGGTAGAGCTGCCCTAGACAGAGCTGAGAGAACCCTGCAGTGGCTAATGAAGGCAGGAGTGCAGAGTGAATGTGAGCTCTGAGAATGGTGAAGCAGCCTGGATTGGACGCATCAGCTCTAGTTTGAAATATTGCCCTTTGATGGGACCATGATAATGAGTCCTGGCCAAAGACTCAGGATCCTCTGCCAGCTGTGAGGCTGTGCTGGGGGAAAATTCTGGATGCCAGGTTCTCTGCTGATAAAATATGTGGTATCTAGCCTAGTGCTGCCCAGTAGAACTTTCTGCTGTGATGAAAATATTCTACAACAGCGCTATTCAATACAGTAGCCACTGGCCCCAAGTGGCCACAGACATTTGAAAGGTGTCTAGTTTGAAGAAATAGTTAATTTTATATAATTTTCATGATTCAGTGTAAATTTAAATTGCCATGTGGAACTTGTGGCTGCCATATTGGACAGCAGAGATCTAACTGGTCCTGCCCTGGGATCCTCTGTAGTGTTAAGCATGTGTGTGTGTGTGCTAAGTTGCTTTGGTTGTGTCTGACTGTTTACAACCCCATGAACTGTAGCCGCCAGGCTCCTCTGTCCATGAGATTTCCCAGGCAAGAATGCTGGAGTGGGTTGCCATTTCCTCTTCCAGGGGATCTTCCCAACCCTGGAATTCAACCCGGGTCTCTTGCATTGGCAGGTGGATTCTTTACCACTGAGCCACTTGGGAAGCCCCGTAGTGTTAAGAATCCACCTCATTTTGATTATAGAAGTTAAGGAGGAAAAAAAAAAAAAGACAGCCAAAAGAAATGAAAAAGTACCTCTCCGCCCCGGGTCGCCGCAGCCTCCACCACTTTCAGGCCTAGTAGCCTGAAGCAAAAAAGAAAAAAAAGATAAAAGAAATGAAAAAGTTGCCTTGAGGAAATGTTGGTTTTTTTTTTTGAATGGTGCCTTGATTTTGACATCTGTGGACCTAGTACCCTCTTGGGTGCTTCTATAGCAGGTATTAGGAAACCTCAAGCCATAATTCTTTACTACTTGATCGGCAGGAGCCAAGTGTTCTTAACCTTCACCAGGAATTCACATTTCAATTCATCATCACAGGAGTTTATGTCAGTGTTTTGTGAAGGGTGAGGCACAAGGTGATAGGTCTTTAACATTTGAAGCTGAAGTTCAATCACACCTAGTGAGGTCACTCCATTTCAAGCCTTCAATCTCTCTGATAACTTGAAGCAGAAAGTCTCAAGGGCTGATGTGCCTTTGACACCTTGCTAATCTCCATGATGACAGACAGCTGGCCTCAGGCCCAGAAACAGAACCCAAGAATTCCGTGTGTGTGTGTGTGTGTGTGTGTGTGTGTGTGTGTAGCAGTTGTCTTTTATTTATGCCAACTGATACCTTCTTTTTCATTTCCAGCAGTTAGCTTCCTTTTAAAATAAGTTTAAGTTTTAAAAAGTGAACACATTTAGATAAAAAATATTAAGTGAATGGGCTTCCCTGGTGGCTTAGATGGAAAAGAATCTGCCTGCAATACAGGAGACCTGGCTTCAATCCCTGGGTTGGGAAGATCCTCTGGAGAAGGGAATGGCTACCCACTCTAGTATTCTGGAGAATCCCATGGACAGAGGAACCTGGCAGGCTACAGTCCATGGGATCACAAAGAGTCAGACACAACTGAATAATTAACACACATTAAGTGAATAATGGGATAGGCTCTCCCTGGGACTGTCCCATCTTGGGGCCTGATCTTATGACTCTGAAAGGACTGACATCCTGCTGGAGTAGGGGAACCATGGGATAAAGCATGGGCTTGGGGCGTCCTTGACTTGTAAAGTGGGGGAATGGACTTGGTGGAATATTCTGAGACTGGGTGAAGTTCTAGGGGTGTTCCCTTCCAGGGCTGGGACTGGGGGAAACCAGAAAGCTGTGCAGGACACATATTTAAGGAGGCACTGTTCTCAGGGTTGGGCAAGAAGAGCAAAGGCAGCCTAAGAAAGGAATGGCCTCTCTTGCCTCAGCCTAGACTCGGCCCAGTTCAAGTCTCTCCTCTCCACCCTGAGCTTTGCAGTCAATTCCTTCATCTCTACAAACCTCAGTTTTCTTCTTTGGTCAAATGGGTAAATGAAACGAGTTTCTCAGTTGTGCGGGACCACTGAGAGCATTGTCCATAGACTCAGTGGACATGAGTTTGAACAAACTCTGGGAGATAGTGAAGGACAGGGAAGCCTGGTGTGTGTTAGTCCATGGAGTCGGTGCAGAGAGTTGGACAAGACTTAGTGACTGAACAATGGAGAGCTTTGTCCAGCCAGACTCTTATTACATGCTCCACCAGTGACAACTCTCATGATCCTTTTTATTTTTTAAAATATTTATTTGTTTTTACTTTTGCCTGAGTCAAGTCTTAGTTGCCGCAGGCCAGCTCTTTGTTGCATCATTCGGGCTGCCCTTGTTGCCCAGGTCACAACCCAAGATTTTGCTAACTGGGTGTATTCCCGTGACCCTTGGCACCTCCATCTGGGGAAGTTCATTCCAGACCCTCTAGGTCACAACGCCACCTTGCTGTCAGTGCTGTTCCCATCTTCCAGAGCCAGGGTTATTGGGACCAGATGCAGGGGTGAGTGAGCTCCGAGGAGTCAGGGCAGGGAGCAGACACCTGGCCACTGCATGCAGCTGGAGCCCTCTTTTCTCTGACAGACCTTGCTCTTCAGTAGAACCACCACGCCCTCAGCCGTCATGAAGCTTATTTCCCCCAGAGACTTCGTGGACCTGGTGCTAGTCAGGACGTATGAGGACGGCACCATCAGTTCCAACGGTGAGTGACGGTGGCCCTGCTTTGAGGTGTTAGTGGGCTGCTGGTCTCTGTCTTCCTCACACCCACCCAGTTCCTCAAAGAAAGCCCACCAGCTAGAAATCCCTGGGGCATGCACAGCCTGGGCTTGTTTTTCTGTGTTCCCCTCCCCTTGTCAGGTTTGGGGGGATTCTGTGCCAGGGAGATCTGAGATGAGAGCATCTATACACGTTATTTTAGTTTGAAGATACAGATTACATCAGCACTCTTTTCATTCCTGCTGAGGTGCATAGTTCGTACCCCAGACACGTGGGCTATGGTTTGGCTCCAGGGAACCCCAGGGTGTGATGATCCCCTGCACCCATGGAGCACCTTCCCATGAGGACTGTGGCGCTGTCAGCTCCCCCACTTCCAGCCAGAAGCAAAGTTCCTGCCTCTGCACTTTTTATGGTTCCTCCTGCAGAAAGTGCTAGCCTGGCTGCTCTCCTGAATATCCCATGTGGGGGCAGGTGGTGGCACGTCCACACCTCTGTTGGCTGGGATTTGAGAGGGGGACCTTCTTCTTTCTACCCTCAAGCCTGACGTCTGAAATTTTCTTTCTTTTAAAAAGATAAAATTGTATTTATTTGGCTATGCTAGGTCTTAGTTATGGCATTTGGAATCTAGATCCCTGCACGTGTGTATGCTCAGTAATGTCCAACTCTTTGTGACCCCCTGGACTGTAGCCCACCAGGCTCCTCTGTCCATGGGATTCTCCAGGCAAGAATATTGGAGAGGGTTGCCATGCCCTCCTCCATGGGATCTTTCTGACCCAGGGATGGAACCTACCTCTCCTGCATTGGCAGGTGGGTTCTTTACCACTGGGCCACCAGGGAAGACCCTGAAATATTCTTTCCTCTAATACACTGGCAGGTTGGAGAGGGTGTGTGTGCATGTGTGAGTGCAAAAATGTGTAGGCACACATACGTGTGAACGCGTGTGTGCAAGGGACAGTGGGGCAGCAGTAGGGAGAGCTCAGGCTCCAGGTGACTGGTCTGCATACACTCTGGGTGCCTGGTAAGGCCCTTCAGCCACTGGGGCCCGATTGCCCAAAGCTGTAGCTCCCTGACCCTTTACTCTCTCTTCCAGCTACCAATGTGGAGCATCCATCTTGTCCCCCGAAACCGGGTTACGTGAGAGGATTTAACCATCCCTGTGGTTGTTTCTGTGAACCTCTGCCAGGGTAAGGACAGCCTCCAGAATGAATGACGTGCCAGGACCTCACTGTGGCTTCACTGAAGATGTCCTGTTGTTGTTGTTGAGTCAATCAGTCGTGTCCGACTCTTTGCAACCCCAGGGACTGCAGCATGCCAGGCTGCTCTGTGCCTCACCGTCTCCTAGAGTTTGTTCAGACTCACGTCCACTGAATCGGTGATACCATCCAGCTGTCTCATCCTCTGCCTTCCTCTTCTCCTTCAGTATTTTTCTAGTAAGTCAGCTCTTTGCATCAGGCGGCCAAGTATTGGAGCCTCAGCTTCAGCATCAGTCCTTCCAGTGAATATTCAGGGTTGATTTCCTTTAGGATTGACAGGTTTCATCTCCTTTCTGTCCAAGGTGGAGGATGTTCTACTCAGTGGCAACATTAATGATGATTCCCAATAATTAAAATGCCTTACACCTCTGGAGGCCTTGCTGTTACAGAGTCTGTGCAGGGTCACAGGCTGGCCATGTAGGGTCTGGGCACCCAGTCTTCTTGGGGTTCTGAGAGCGCTCCACCAGCTGGGACCAGCCAGTAGCTTAGCTGTCACCACCCTCAGTCCCCCCACTGGTGCTCATCTTGTGTCCCCTCAGCGAGGAATGAGGTTGAAATGCTCTGGCCTAATGGGTGATTCTGAGAGCACAGCATGAGTCAGCCCCAGAACTGAGCTCAGAAATGGTTCTGTCCCCATGTTCTCACAGGTGGTGGCCAGGTTTGGTTTTTATTTTTTTTTTTTTTTTGCCATACCGAGCAGCATGCAGGATCTTACTTCTCATATTTTTGGTCTGAGTCTCCATTGTTACTGTTTAGTCACTCGGTTATGTCCAACTCTTTTGTGATCCCATGGACTGTAGCCCGCCATGCTTCTCTGTCCATGGGATTTCCCAGGCAAGAATACTGGAATGGGTTGCCAGTTCCTTCTCCAGGACATCTTCCCGACCCAGCAATCAAACCCACATCTCCTAAATTGGCAGGTGGATTCTTTACCACTGAGCTATCAGGGAAGTCCTCATTTGCACTCTTCAGTATTATTCAGGGCATCAAAGTGTTTTGTTCATGTGGATTATATCCATCAATATTTACTATATTTGACATTAAACCTGGGACATTTAAAAATATTTATTTTAAAATAATGATACATTCATTAGAAGTGACTCATTGGAAAAGACCCTGATGCTATGAAAGATGGAAGGTGAAAGGAGAAGGAGATGGTGGAGGATGAAATGGTTAGATAGCATCACCAACTCAATATGAATTTGAGCAAACTCCAGGAGACAGTGAAGGACAGGGAAGTCTGTTGTGCTGCAGTCCAAGGGGTTGCAAAAAGTCAGACATGATTTATCGACTGAACAACAACAACAGCAGTTACATGATAACATAAATATTGTTGTGAAAAATAACTATATTTTTCAAAATAAAAAAATAGTGGAGAGTGGCCTTGTTTTACATTTGAGGAAATATTAATGTCAGGCTTACTAGAAGCTCACATCTGCTTCTACATTCAGTCTGTTGTGATGCACACATCAAAGAGCCTTTGGAAACTGACCCCCACCACCGCCCCAGCAGCGAAGCTGTTAACAATTCCATTCAAATAAAATTCTCAGGAACCTCCCTGGTGGTCCAATGGCTAAGACTCCATACTTCCAATACAGGGGATGCAGGTTTGATCCCAGGCTGGGAAAGTAAAGATCCCACATGCTGTGAGGCATGGCCTCCAAAAATTAAAAATAAATAAATAAACAAATAAAAATGCTTGGTCTCCACAAAGCCCATGCCTTCGTTGTGCTGGCCATGGGAAAAATTTGTGAGAATAAAGTACAGGCTGAGAGAATGGGAGTGTAAAGGCAAATGACATCTTAGTGCTGTGAGAAAAATAGCCTTGACCTTGAAAAGCCCTTGAAAGGGTGTTAGGAACCCCCAGGAGTTGCCAGACCTCTCACAGAATCACTGCCCTCAATGGTCGGAGGGCAGCATCGTGTCTCTTTCTCCCAGGACCCAGCACTGGAGTAAATTCTCTGAAAGACTTTCCCGAGTGAATCAGGCACAGGGAATGAATGGCCTTGCTGGGATGGAAATGGGGGCATGTCCTCGCTGGCCGTCCATGTGGGGCCAGGGAATCATGCTTGAGAGGACCCGCTTCCATCCTGAAAAGAGGCAGGCCCAGAGGGGACCCCTGGACAGTGAACCCAGCAAAATCCCTGGGTTTGGACCACTTCCCTGAGTGGGCCTCGGTTCTAGATACCTAACAGCCCTATTTTTGTTTTCACAGGGAGCCAAACAAAACCAGCCTGGTCACGTTCTTCCAGACCGACCTCAGTGGTTACCTCCCACAGGGCGTGGTGGACTCCTTCTTCCCCCGCAGCATGGCTGGGTTCTATGCCAACCTTGAGAAAGCAGTGAAGAAATTCTTCGGCTGACAGCCTGGCCGGTTGGCCGAGAACTGCCATGGCTCGTGCAGAAGGGCAGTTGTTGGGACACCCCTGGAGAGCCTGGGAGCACATGGGCTCCTTTGGAAGACATCAGCCAGGGGCAACCCTGGGTCCCCTGCTCCTCCATCTACTCGGGTGGGGCTGTTGTCATCCAAGTACACCTTCTCCGGCAGGTGCATCTGAGCCCCTGACCACCAGACGGGGACTCTGCCTGGGCACTGTGGGACACACTAGGGTCCAAAGCCTTCCTCTGCCGGTCACTCCCCCAAAACCTGGCTCAGCCCCTTTGTTGCGTCCGAGCTCTCAGTCCTGTACCACAGACCCCTAGATGTATGGTGCTGCGCCAGCCTTCCCCTTAAAGACGTCAACTTGATGTTTAAAAAATGAGATGAACCTTCAGGAAAAACACTTTCAATATTCCTTTTGTTGTCTCTTTTATTCAAATCATTTTTCTTTCTTTTCCCCCTGCATGAGTTAAATTTCATGTGCCCCAGGGAAACCAGGCAGTTTGAATCTGGCCCTGGAAGCACTCTGGAATTGATTCTGGATGGAGCAAGCCTACAAGTGGGATTTGAGCAGAACCTCCCCTCCCTTGGGCATTTGCCTTTTCTTGTCCTTGGTTATGGAAGGTGGAGCAGGAGTCTTCTGGCCTCCAAGCCCTGGTAGGGCCATACGGCTGTTACCAAGTCCATGGGATTTCCCAGGCAAGAATACTGGAGTGGGTTGCCATTTCCTTCTCTAGGGGAGCTTCCCAACCCAGAGATCAAACCCATGTTCTCTTACATCGGCAGGCAGATTCTTTACTGCTGAGCCACCAGAGAAGCCCCGGTCAGGGGATACTAGGTGTTGCTAATCAATTTCCTTGCCCCGAGCTCAGCAGTCAGGCACTAAGTAATGACCACAGCGGTAGCTTCCCCACAATGTTCTGTCTGCATTTAAAAGCATCCTGACCTCTTGTGCACATGCTTGTTGCTCAGTTGTGTCTGACTCTTTGTGAATCCACAGACTGTGGCCCACCAGGCTCCTCTGTCCATGGCATTCTCCAGGCAAGAATACTAGAGTGGGTTGCCATAACCTCCTGGCAGGGAATCAAACCCAAGTCTCTTGTGTCTCCTGTATTGCAGGCGGATTCTCTACCTGCTGAACCATCAGGGAAGCCCCATCTTGGCCTATTGGTCTCAACCAAATCACAGAAGAAAGGACTCACTCTGATTCATTTACCAGCTGGACAAGTTTCTCACTGTCCTCGGGTCTCAGTGTTCTCATCTATATAACAGGATGATATCATGCTCTGTAGACACTGCTGTGATTACTGAAGACAATGTCCACTTAATACCAACACGGTGCTTGGCACATGGGAGGTACATGGCAGCCATGTGTATTTCACCCTGTCAGACTCAGGCTGGTCTATTCTGTTGGCACAGCTGAGCACACATGGAGTTTCATTTGTCTGGTTACTTGCTCTGTCACTGGGTACCACCCCAGCTAGGAGCGCTTCTCCAACCCCAACCAAAAAGTTTTGCAAATGCGCTATGTGATAGACCATATTTTTCAAAAAATAGCCCAAGCTGCCTTTCCCCTCCCCTTAAACCTGAGCAGGTCTGGGCCAGCTCTGACTGATGGAGCACAAGAGAAGTGATGCTCTTCAACTTTGGAGATAAGGTCACACCAAGGATGCAGCTCCTACCTGGCTCTCACACTCTCGGGG